TAAAAAATCAAGATTAACAATATTTAGTGAATCAAGAATGAGTAATTTACTTAATACTCCATGTGAAGTTTTCTACTTTGGAAATCCTAACAGGGCACTAAATTATTTTAAATAAAAATACAGTTTGTCAATTCTTTAGTGCTGTTTGAAATATAAATGTATTTATGCCTTCACCTCTCGTGACAAGTGATATGTCATGCCAAGTTCCTCCCCAGGACCGTCTACACACTTCTCGGGGCCCAGCGCGAAATGAAAATGCAGAGCCTCTTGTTCAAAAAGTATTGAGAGCATTAAACTGAGTCAAGCCCCTAAATGACTGCACAGGGCACACCCCATGTATCTGGCCCTGTTCCTGACACTACAATATTCAAGGAAATCTTCAAGGAAGAAACTTCCAAATTAGCCCCAGACACTGTAAGATAAGAGCATTACTAATGAAATATTGCTGACTGTCTTATGCACTTTTATTTCTACATTGACTGAAGGGTTTGAAATATTATACCGAGCTCTCCCAAGTGAGATTAAACTAAAATCATTCATGGCATTGTTTTTTTCTCTACTGGAAAATACTTTATGACCCAAATATTTTTTTAGCTTTGCAAGAAATTTTGAAAGTGCATTGCATTAGAAAGGTATTGAGACACATTAGCTATTTTACCTTCTTCGTGGCCAAGTTGCTTATTTTTAGCTCTCTTCCTGGCCTCGATTTTATCCGTCTCTGCATTTACTGCTTCATAAACTGTTTCTGCTACTTCCTGCTGCCAGCGTTCAGAGATGACCAAAGGGAAGTTCTTGTAGAGTTCTTGGTCGCAATCAAGCAGCTTATTATTTTAAGAAATCAAGATATTTGTGATTTAACATACTGACAAGGGCAACAGAGTCAATAGCACCATGTCCCTGGTGACACTGTTATAACTGCATATTGGGAGATAACTGGAGGATAGCACAGAATCATTTGAAGGCAGGTTAGTCGTTGTCATAAACCTCTGCTAATGACAACACAGGCAACCAAGATCCACAAATAATTAAAATTGATGAGCATTTCACTTTCAGTTCCAGAACAGTTAGATTCAACCCAATGTATCTCCGTGACATTTTTGTCAATGAAAACTAACACATACAGGTTTTTACCTGAAATATGAAAAGATCCTGACAACACAGTAAAATTTCAATTATGGTGAGGATATTTTATTTATAAAAGTAGGAAAACAGATCCCTATAGTTTTAGAAACAATTATAAAGGAGAAGCAAAAACGGCTTTCTAACCTACCCTCAATTAATTTGAAAAGTTAGAAAACAAAAGATAAACTAGACTAAATTAATTGTTCATTCCATGAACCTGGCTAATTAAAGTTTAAGAGTATGATTATATGTGTTAAGTATAGAGCTCAAGATACACAGGGACTTTAGGTAACGGAGCCTTCAAGAGCTGCTGGAATAAAAATTACATGTAATGACAGCACTTTTCTTCCAAATGGCTACTCAAAATTCTTCATTCTGCCCTCTAAGTAAGGGTGCACCTTGAAAATGAGCAAAGAAACTGTTTTACGCATCTGAGCTACAGTTTTACGGCAGAACTGCTAGCAATCCTTTGGAGAGAAACACATTTGTCTTGTCAGATGCATGGATCTC